TCCCGAAACCCAAAGGCTACGACCTCAGGGGTTTAGGGTTTAGGGTTCAGGGTTTGGGTAGCAGCCTCTTGAACCCTAAACTCTCCCTAGGGCTCCGAGTATACAAATCATGCCGAAAACGGGGTCTAAAGTCTGTAAATGATACCTAAAAGAACCAGCCTCTTAAGGCTCGCCCGCGGCTTGGGACTTTTGTCAATACCTCGTGCGCCTCATGCGCTCAGCAAAAGGTCTGCAATGGCCTTCTCGTAGCCTTGGCAAAGAGTCCAACAAGTTATAACTGGTTAACGAGTACCATGAACCTCCAAGTATGGGGCCAAGGATGGCAAGGTCCCTTACCTTTTGGAACTGTCCTTCGGTCCCTAGACCCAGGAATAACGTAGGGAATAACAAGGATTTAGGGTTTAGGGTTTAGGGTTTCGGGTTTAGGGTTTAGGGTTTTAAGGAGATCATAAGGGAACCACAGCCCTAAACAAAGGAATAAAGGCCTACTCCGGGTCCTGGGTCTTTACATCCTGTAGCAATGCCCAACAGCACAAGACTGTTGGGTGTCAGCCGCTATGAAGAGAGCCGAGGTTACGGACAGGACAATGGCCGACAATAGAGCCCTAAACCCTAAACCCTAAACCCTAAACCCTAAACCCTGAACCCTGAACCCTAAACCCGAGACCCTAGACCCTAAACCCTAAACCTAACTGTGCTGTTGTGTCTTCGGATGGGCTTTCTAAGGGTTACGGGGGTACATGATCGAGAGGGTCCATGTGCAGTGCCATTCTGGAATTTGGTACCAAAAGCCCTAGTTAAAACAAACACACACACACACACATATATATATATATATACATACATGCATGCATGCATGCATACATACATACATACATATATAGGGCTCTTTAGGGAGGGGGGGTTCAAGGGGGGTATGTAAACCCAAGGTTCCCTTATACTCCCCACTACTCCCCAAGGCTCCCTAAGCTTCCCTAAGGTTCCCTAGGTACCTACCCCCCCATGACCCTAAACCCTAAACCCGAAACCCTAAACCCCAAACCCTAAACCCGAAACCTAAACCCCCTCCCTCAAGAACCCTATAGCACACACGCACACACACACACAGCCTTCGGTGGACAGCACTTGTCCGCCGTCCAATCGGCGGAGGTCTGTGTCCTGGAGGGTTGACCAGCTTCGGGTTTCAGAAGCTTAGGGGGTTTAGGGTGGGCCTAAAGGGCCTAAAACCTTAAATCCTCAACCTCGGTTTCGGGTTGCCCTAAACCCCAAACCCTAAACCCTAAACCCTAAACCCCAAACCCTGCATTTCGGGTTGGTTCGGGAGGCCAGGGTTGTCGCGCTGGCTGTTTAAGCCCTGAGCTAAGACTCAAAGGAGGAACCCCTTTTGGGTTTAGGGTTTAGGGTTTAGGGAGTTTAGGGTTTATAAGGGTTCAGGGTTAGGGTTCAGGGCTTCGGGCTGAGTGTCTGCGACACCCGACGCCCCCAAGCTTTTGTACGCTGACACCCGAAGGTCCTAACCGCACACACAATAACAAACACCGTAAACCCCCTTGTATCACAAGCCCCGTAAAACTATTATCCTAAACCCGAAATTCCCTCAATGCCCAAACATGACCCCCCCCCCCCCACCCCACCCCACCCCACCCCACCCCACCCCCCTCGCCACGCCTTTCCCCCGTATACGTAAACAACCCATACACTACACAAGCACCCAAGAAAATGAGAATATATCTTCAGATTCTTCCTTCTTAAGGGAATATGTAGTCGTTCTTCATGTTTCCATCTTTTTCAGGGGTTTCTGAAGCAAATTTCTAGTAGTTAGAGACACTAAACCATCCTCAGCGGCTCATGTTCCTGCTTGCCCCGACCCCGCATCCAGTCCACCGCAGCGACCACGCGGGCGTCCCCGGCGCTGCAGGCCTGCTTGGAGGTTCATTGGTACTTATAACCCCAATTATAAGTCTACTTATAACCTACTTAGGGGACTTAGGGGGTTTATAACTGCAGTTATAGTTAGAGTTATAAGTGCCCATGAACCTCCAAGTGGGCGTATCATGCGCACCAGGGCTTGTAGGGTTCGGCTTTACAGGGTTTGGGGTCTATGAGGCCTGGGGTTGAGGGTGGGTTTAAACAGTTGTCTACCTCCTGGAGTGATAGGCTTGAGTACTGAGCAAGGGGGTTTACGAAAATAGGGGACCCCTAAAATAGACCCCCAAATAGTAGGATCCCCTTATCATAAGGACTCCAAGAAGGTACCCTCAAATATCGTAAACCCCCCAAATCCCATCCTAAACAGCCATCACCTACCCCAAACCCTAAACCCTGAACCCTAATGTCGCACCCCTAATGTCGCAAACCCACATCCCATCTACACCGAGCTCCGTGGCTTAGGACTCCGGCTGTCCAGCCACGCCCAAGCATATAGCGCCTCGGCCGTGCCAGCGAAACATGAGGCGCTGTGCTTTCAAAAGGGCTTACGGGGGCTTAGGGTTTATAGGGTTTAGGGTTTAGGGTTTAGGGTTTAGGGTCTAGGGTTCAGGGTTCAGGGTTTATAGGGTTTAGGGTTTAGGGTTTAGGGTTTAGGGTTTATAGGGTTTAGGGTTCAGGGTTTATAGGGTTTATAGGGTTTAGGGTTTGGGTTTAGGGTTCAGGGTTTAGGGTTTAGGGTTTAGGACGAAGGGTTTTTTGAGCCCTGAGCCCCACACTCCGCTGTTCATTGCGACTCGAGCCCCTGCAGTTCCTTTAGCTGGTCATGGGAACCTTCCTTCGCCAAGAGCCAATGGGAATAAAAAGGTTAAACTTTACTATCCCTACTAAATTAAGGACACCCAAAAAAGTTTAAAGTTCAACTACTGGCTAAATAAGGACACCCGAAAAGTTTAAAGTTCAACTATTGGCTAAGTAAGAAACCAACTGTCGGGAGTTTCACAAGCGGCCCGCCGGCAACTGGCGCCACAAACACTGCGGGAAGCCCGGCCAGGTAAGGGGTTTAGGGTTTAGGGTTTCGGGCTTAGGGGTTTAGGGGTTTAGGGTTTAGGGTTTGGGGTTTGGGGTTTAGGGTTAGGGTTTAGGCTCATTCTGGGGAGGGGGGGGAGGCACTATCCTTGGCACAACGTTAAAGGACAGTTTGCAGGGCCTCCCCTTGTTATGACTTCAGGTTTCGGGGCATATTATAGGGGAACTGGATCTCCCTCCAACACAGGACATTGTGGTGGCACCAGCTGCCTAGCACCCCCAACGCGAAAATCATAGGCCCTTGAACCTGCCATACTCTACACCCCTGGAGCCCTAAGTAAACCCTAAGCAACCCTAAACCCTAAACCCTAAACCCGAAACCCCAAACCCTAAACCCTAAACCCTAAACCCCAAAGAAACTTGCCAGGCTCGGCACATGTAGTCGCAGCGGGCCAGGGCATAGTGCGCGAGCAGCAGAGTGAAGGGGAAATCCTGGGCGCGGAAGGAGTGCTTTGTGGCTTATGGGGGTGTACTTGGAGGTTACCAGTTATAACTGTACTTATAACCATATTGGGGCACTTAAGGGGCCTATAAGTGGGTTATCAGTACAGTTTTAACTGTACTTATAAGCATATTAGAGCACTTAAGGGGCTTATAAGTGGGTTACAGTACAGTTATCATTGGTGAATAAGTACCATGAACCTCCAAGTAGGGCTTCGGGCCAGCTAGGAAGAAAAGGACGTCCCGTGTTGGTAAAAGAAACCCCAACATGCTTGCTCCTGATGGTCCTTCCCGTGTACCCGTATTGAGAGGAAGGGGAAGGGGGTGAGCGGTGAGCGGTTACGGTTTAGGGCTTACGGTTAAGGGTTGAGGGTGGGAGGGGGGGGGGGGGGGGGGAGAATTGTTAGATTTTGAGGGTTGCCTTGCTTTAGTGTTTCGGGTTGCCGCGGCTAAGGTTAGTTAAAGGCTTTTCAGGGGAGATCCTATTTGGGGTTTATAAAGGGCTGTTCTCAACTTCTTTCAAACCAGGAATCCTGAGAAGTACGTCCCCCAAAAAGGAGCCCAAGCTTCCCTTCCCCCCCCCCCCCCCCCCCCGCACATGCTCCCAAATCGCATGTCGAACGAGGAGGGAGGAGGAAGCAGAGGCGGCAGGGTGGGTTTAGGGTTCCAAAGCCAAAGCCAAGGCCCAGCCCAAGGACAAGGCCAAAGCCAAGGCCGATCCCAATGGGCACATGAACCGCGAAACCCACACCCCAGACCCTCACTAAACCCTCTAAACCCCTTGAACCTCGAAACCCTGACGCCAACTAAACCCTTGAACCACCAAAACCATAAACCCCTAAACCCATAGACCCTTGTAACCTTAAACTCTTCAACCTTAAACCCTTCGAACCCTTCGAACCCTGTAACCATAAACCCTAAACCCAAAACCCCTAAACTAAACCCTAAAGTTCTTCCGGTATTAGAGCACTGGGGGAGCCCGGCGCCACCGGTGCCGAACTCTTCGAAAGCGCTCGTCAGCTGGGCCTGAGGTATGGGGCTCGTTACAAAGTAGGGGCGTGGGGTTTGCTTTGTTTTGCGGTACGGTTTAGGGTTTTAGGGTTTTAGGGCTTTAGGGTGTCGGGGGTTTAGGGGTTTTAGGGCTTGTTACAAAGCAGGGACGTGGGGTTTGCTTTGTTTTGGGATTTAAGGTTTTTGGATTTAGGGTTTTAGGGTGTTATGGGGTCGTAGGGGTTTAGGTTATTGGGGTTTGTGTGGAATCTTCTGTCGCAGCACTACTGCAAGAAGCATCCCAGCACGGAGCTTCCCACAATTCCTCATACATTCCAACTCTCGCACATCAAGGCCTCATCCTTCAAACTCCATGCGCCCCATTTCATCGCCTAAATCCTTCAATCCATAAGCCAAGTATTTCCCAAATCCAGTGCAGAAGTTCGAAGCCTAAGACTCGACAATCCAAAAAGTCAGAGTCACCGAGCCAAACACAACACAACGGCTGGGAACCCTTTTCGCAGAGCGGTGCTATGCGACGTCCCTGGCTAAAACTAAAGTGACACACCTACGCAGCGGACAACCGCAAAGACACCCTGCACCAAGTAGTCAGATGCGATAAACGAGATGGGAATGAAAACTACCTGCATGACAACCTGCTTGCCCAACTGGACTTCTAGCATGGCACGACGCTGACTCAGGTCACGAATTCCCTGCGCAATTTCGGCTTGGAGGGCCGTCTCTGCCTTGATGTCATGCTCTGCTTGTTGCAATGCACTCCGAGTGTCATGAACCAGCATATCGCGCTTGTTGGTCTGAACTCGGTAGAAACGGTAGAATCGATATGCAGGCAGTGCCACAAGCCCGATGCCACCACAGATGGCCAAGACTTTGCAAGCTGCGACCTTCGTCGCAAGAGCTCCAACGCTAGTTTTCGCAACAGTCCAACTTGCTGTGAGGGTCTTCACATTGCAAAAACATGACGCAGTCAGCTTCATCTTTGCCAGATATGGCCCGAACTGGAAGGAGACAGTTGCTGCTTTTAGAGACATCAGCCCAAGATTCCCTGTTGTGACTGTGCCGGCCATAGTGATCATTTTGCTTCCACATGTCAACAGGACTGTCTTTGTTGCTAACAGTGTCTTCCCCAGAAGTGGCATCACAACTTTCAGAGATGCAGACGATTTGACAAGGGCGAAAAGCCCACCGCCGACAGTCAACTGCTTAAAAGAGCTCGTCCAAAGAAACAACAATCCAAATCCTTTGGCCTCCATCACAAGCTGTGAGCTCTGCCGCACCACAGAAATCAAGCCTCTGAATTCTGCTTTTGATGATTCGAACTCAGCTTTGAGTGTTGCCAGCTTCTCCAGGTCATTGCAAGCCTTGAATGCCTCCCAGTTCTGCCGTAGCATTTGCCACGCTGTCATGCTCTCAAGCTGCCTCGCTCGCGATGCCGCTCCTTAGACATGGCCAGATGTTTTTCCGTTTCCCGCCTGGCCCTGTCAATGTCGATGATAGCACAGATGATTCGGGAACTGAAAGGTGCAGCAAGCTTTTCGGTCAGCTGAAGTACCCAAGTTTGTTCAACCAAAGTTCGCCCGACGGCCCCTGCGAGGTGCTGAGCAGTCCGATCCATCTCTAACATGCACCTGGCAACCCGAGGCCCGACACATCGCTGCTGGAATCCACCCAAAAGCCGCTGAGCAACACTGTTGACCATTGCTTCGACTGCGCTGCGCCACTGCCCGGTGCTACAGCTGGACGCACGAAAGCGAAGAAGCTACACCCACAATCTTGGTGGATCTGTAACTTTCTTCCCATCCTCGCCAGTGGACTTAATCTAAACAAGGATTCTTTTTTCCAACATCTTGATTCTGAGCAGCTCGGGGCCAGCCTGCCACTTGAAATCTTGAGCCAGAATGGATGGCGAAAGCCCGGAATGCTCACCAGGATTGATACTGTAGTATGGCAAACTCTGCCATGGCATACCAAGCAGATCGTAGTATACTGCTCCTAAAGATGATACAGTATGCTTGAGAGTAGGTGTGCCTGGACACCCTGTGGTCACAAGTTCCTTTGTCATTGCAATGTCTTGGCAGAACCGCCTGGTCTTGGATCTGGTCGGAAACTACATGGAGGTTTCCGAAGATGGGGGGGGGGGGGGGGGGAGGGGGGGGAAGGGCGGGGAGGGGGGGGAGGGGAGGGGGAGGGCGGCAGTGGGGGGGGGGGGGGAGGGGCTGTGCCTGCGTGGTCTTCGACTCCCCAACAAAAATCAACAGAACAGAAGGTTATCCTAAACCCCATACGCCCTATGAACCCGCCCAAACCCTTCAGGAAAAAAGTTGCGGAACCTTTCGGGAACCTTAGCAGCCTCTGAGGGAGCCAGAGACAAAATTAGACAGCATCAGAAAAGTTGGGCTGCCCCTCCCAACCGAGTAGCCCCCAAAATGTCAGCTGAGGTTTAGGGCCAGGGGGTAAGGGTTTGGGTGGGGTTTAGGGTTCGGGGTTTAGGAGTTCGGGTATAGAGTGCAGGGGTGGATGTAGGGCCCGAAACATCCCTAAACCGTAAACCCCAATAACCCTTAAAGCCACTTTCTCTAAGCCTCTGAGAGGGCCGAGCATGGTAAAAGGCCATCAGCTCAGACTCCACGGCAAGGAGGTCCTGCATTTCTGTGAGAGGGTTTAGGGTTTAGGGTTTAGGGTTTAGGGTTATGAGGGTACCAGACTCACCTCAAAAACCTGTGCATCCTGGTCCGGGTTGAGTCTGAGGGCCTGGGGTTGAGGGGCTGTTCATGGTTGGGATAGCATCAAAAGCATTGAATTTCCATTCCCGATTGAGTTTTAAGTACCCTTAAATAATGTGACATGTTATCCCAGTATGACAACGGGTCAGGATGTAGGAAGCCAGAGTCTTGGGACATGGAAACAGCCCAAGCCGTAACACATCCCGAAATTGTCAGGGCGCCGTCCCTGCTCCTAACTAGAAGCTTTGTTCAACCGTTGCTCAATGGGCTGTTGAGCTCGTGACAGGGCAAGCCTAAACCTTAACAGCCTGAGCCGTACGTGCCAGTATCCATACATACATACATACATGACATACATACAGACAGACAGACATACAGATACGTGCATACACGTATGATTTCATTAATGCAAATGTAGCCACATCTGTATGCATACTTTTATTATGGACCATTCATGGCGGTAGGTCTGCGAGCCCCCTCGGAACCCTGCAGAACTGACCTCCCCAGCCTTCGGTCAAGGAGAAAAACTCAGCTCGAAGGGTTCCGGACCGGAAAGCTCCAGCCCAACACTCGGCATCTCATGACAAAGCTCAGACACTCCAAGTAATGTATCCCCGAACTGTGGTTCGTATTGAAGGGGCATGTGAGCTTCTGAGCCACACCTGAAGCCCTAGAAGCCCTTCTGGCAGTTAAGATTCCATTCGACCCCCCCCCCCCTCCCCCCCCTAAATCAAAAACCTAAGCATCTACTGCGGGAACTGACGCAGCTGGGGAACATACCAACAAGCCTAAGTTTGCTGATAACCAATTGTTGATGGGTCCGCGTCATGCTTCTTTTAACAACTGGGCGCTGAAAAACATCTTTTCTGCAACTGGCTTAATTACCCCAAACCCCCAAACCCCCAAACCCCAGCACCCCAAACCACCACAGGGCCCCGGCTTATACCAAGAGGGCACCAAACCCTTCACCCCAAACCCCGATACTTAATTGACCCCGCCGACTTATCGACTTATAAGTACGTGATATGTATGTGATATGTATCGATTAAGTTGTTTATCTTGGAGTTAAGTTTGTTTTATATAATTAAGTTCCAGATAAGTTCGACATTTTTTGCTTGACATATCTCGGACTTAGGAACTTATGCGTGTTATGCCAAACAAACTTATATAGAACTTATCTCTATTTATCTGTTTTACATTTTGGGATGTTGTTCCCGGGTTCGCGCATGCATCTCAGCTAAAATTGAAGAAATCGGTCTTGCAGCCCCTGCAACAGATATTCTATAGTTGCCTGGCAGCGTTAAAGCCTCCCCGGCCACCTCGGGACGCTTGCGTGCCTTGTCCGCCAGGTGTCCGCCAGGTGTCCGCCAATGTCCGCGACAATATAGGTCAAGCCCTGGCTCGCGGACGTCCACGTCCGCGCGGGGGATGTCCGCCTGCATGGGCTCATATAAACCCGGACCCCGCGCCGCTACCATCTGGCGTCGTCTGCTGTCCGCAGGTGTCCGCGAGCCGGTCCGCAAACAAAATGCCAATGTCCGCGGAGTTGGCCTGCTTTTTCCTTGTTTTCGCACGTTTTGTCTTGCCATGCTTGCAAGAAGCAAAAGGTCTCTCTGCAATTCTGGGCATAGTTTTCTGCCATGCCTTAAGCTGTGTGCCCGCGTTGTCGAAAAAAAAGGTGCTGTTCATGAAAACGATAAAAAAGCAAGCCTTCGAACTTATACACAACTTATCTCCTACTTAATCCGGACGTAAAATAAGTCCAACATAAGTTTCGAACAAGTTCATATGTTCCACGGCGTCAATATAGTAGGGACCGCCGCCCCCCCCCCCTCCCCCCCCCCCTCCCCCCCCCCCCTCCCCCCCCCCCTCCCCTCCCCCCCCCCCCTCCCCCCCCCCCCCGCCCCCCCCCCCCCCCCCCCCCCCCCTCCCCCCCCCCCCCCTCCCCCCCCCCCTCCCCCCCCCCCCCCCCCCCCCCCCCCCCCCCCTCCCCCCCCCCCCTCCCCCCCCCTCCCCCCCCCGCCCTCCCCCCCCCCCCTCCCCCCCCCCCCCCTCCCCCCCCCCCTCCCCCCCCCCCTCCCCCCCCCCCCCCAAAAAGAAAAAAACAAAAAAAAAGTCTAAACCCTAAACCCTGAACCCTGAACCCTGAACCCTAAACCCTAAACCCTAAACCCTAAACCCTAAACCCTAAACCCTAAACCCTAAACCCTAGCCCTTCTAGAGGGGCAAGGGCGGATCACTAGGGTCCATCTTCAGGTCTGGGAAGAGGAAGTTGGCCAGATCGACCTCAGCTGCGGAGGAGGTTTAGGGTTTAGGGTTTAGGGTTTAGGGTTTAGGGTTTAGGGTTTAGGGTTTAGGGTTTAGGGTTTCGGGTTTGGGGTTTGGGGTTTGGGGTTTGGGGTTTGGGGTTTGGGGTTCTAAGGTTCTAGGGTTCTAGGGTTCTAGGGTTCTAGGGTTCCAGGGTTCCAGGGTTCCAGGGTTCCAGGGTTCCAGGGTTCTAGGGTTCTAGGGTTTCAACCCCAAACTAAACCCTTGAAACGCTATGAAACCCTAAAAAGCCCTAAAAAGCCCCAAACCCGAAACCCTAAACTCCACCTTTGAGCAGGAGATCCCGGGACCCAAGCCGCCACGAAGCCCGGGCCCGAAAATTCGAAGTCCACCACGGCGGCTTCGCAAAGGCCCTGAAAGGGCAGCTGCTTGAGGTGCTTTGGGTTTAGGGCTTATAGGGATCGAGGATTTAAATCCTAAACCCTAAACCCTAAACCCGTAACCCTAAACCCTAAACCCATAACAATAACCCTAAACCAATCTGCTTTAGGGTGTGTTAGGGTTCGGGGTTGTAGGAGGGAGTTCTCGGTCTTGCGGTCTTTTGCGTGGTGGTTTGGGTCCTAAACGCTAAACCCTAAACCCTGAACCCTGAACCCTAAGCCCTCATCAAGGTGGCTTCGAGTAGTTCGAGGGCAGAATTATTGGTGAAGTGGAGAGGGGAGATGCAAGACTCGGGTTTCGGGTTTAGGGTTCTAAACCCCTATAATCCTTAACTCCCAGACCGGTTCAGGTGGGAGCCCCTACCTGGCCAGGTCGGTAATTTGTAGCCAACCCTTTCGGGGCTCTGAATTCTTGACTGCTACTTTTGATGTTTAGGGTTTAGGGGGTGAGGGGTTTAGGGGTGTAGGCGACTAGGGTTTAGGGCTCTTTTGTTACTTCTGCTACATTCTTGCCCACTAAGCCGTCAAGGTTTGCAGAGGGATTGGGGGTTCCCAAGCCCCCAAAACCCTAAACCCTAAACCCTAAACCCTAAACCCTAAACCCTAAACCCTAAACCCTAAACCCTAAACCCTAAACCCTAAACCCTAAACCCTAAACCCTAAACCCTAAACCCTAAACCCACCATAAGTCCCTCGATTTTACGGTGTCCTGAACCCTCGAACAGCCCGGCCTCATCTCCGTCGGCGCGACGGAGGAAGAAGTTCGCGGTTTTGAAATCGCCGTGGAGCCTAGGGCTGCCCCGCCCCAAAAAAAACAAAAGGAAAATGATATGAACAAACAAACATAAATAATAAAGATAATAATCCCATATTGCCCTGATGAGGGTGAGTATGTTGTGCTTTTTGGGGTCGCTCTTAAGAAAAAGAAAATACCTAATTAGTAAAACATCATACCCTGAACCCTAAGCCCTAAACCCTAAACCTTCGGCCCTGAACCCTAACCCCTAAACCGTAAACCTCAAACCCCAAACCCTAAACCCTAAGCCCTAAACCCCTCACCTCCAGCCCCTCGAGATCGAAGCCACTGGGGCCGAAACAGCGTCCGATGCCGCACGAAGCCCTTCGACCGCCGGAGCCTTTGAATGTAGGGCTTAGGATTTAGGATTTAGGGTTTAGGGTTTAGGGTTTGGGGTTTAGGGTTTAGGGATTGGGGTTTAGGGGTTTAGGGGTTTAGGGTTTGAGGTTTAGGGTTTGGGGTTTAGGGCTTGGGGTTTAGGGTTTAAGGTTTACGGTTTGGGGTTTGGGGTTTAGGGTGTAGGGCCGGGGTTTGGGGTTTGTGAGGTTTGGGGCTTGCGGGGTTTGGGGTTTAGGGTTTGGGTTTTAGGATTCGGGGTGTAAGGCTTAGGGTGTAGGGTTTGGGGTTTGGGGCTTGGGTTATAGGGTTTCGGGTTTAAGGTTTGCCGTCTGGGGTTTGTTTTTGTTTTCTTTTTTCTTTTGTTTTTTTGGGGGAGAAGCTCTATACTAGGTTGCCAATCTAAAATTTAATGCTAGTGCTAGACTACTCCGTGCTACCCGCTATGTCCTCGTCGTCAACAAGCCGCAGCAGAATCATGCACTCGTCAAGTCCATCACACAGCATAGCTGCTGTCATCAGCCGTTCAGAGGTCAGGCCGTCAAGGAAAGACTCGCGCTGCCTTCCCGGACCCATCAGTTGCGCTGTGATGAATGGCTGCGATCCCTAAACCCTAAACCCTAAACCCTAAACCCTAAACCCTAAACCCTAAACCCTAAACCCTGAAACCCTAAACCCTAAACCCTGAACCCTGAACCCTGAAACCCTAAACCCTAAACTTCAGAAATGCCGGAAGGCAGAGCAGCTGTCGGCGCAGCGGTGTGACCTGCGACTCGAACCGGTGCTTGGCCGCTCGCAGGTTCTTGGTTTAGGGTTTAGGGTTTAGGGTTTAGGGTTTAGGGTTTAGGGTTTAGGGTTTAGGGTTTAGGGTTGAAGATTCCAGGAGGCTTTGTTCTGTGCCTCGATCTCTTCCTCAAAGATCTTTGTCAGGACGAAACTGTTGTGAATCTTCTGAGCCATGGCATCCTTGCCGTTCACGAACATGGCCAAGGTCTCGTGTAGGCAAGCGTCGCATTTGTATGGTCGCATCATGACTATGCACTTTAGGGACTAGAGAGCAGGATTCCTGTTGAACTGAAGTCGGCATCTTGGGGTATGGAATGCTTCTGTTGGCATTATGAGCAGAACATGCTGGACATAATTTAGTCTGCTGTACCAACGCCTAAACCCCAAACCCAAAACCCTAAACCCTAAACCGGTCGAAGCTTCACTCAGCGCCATAGCATTTGTCGGCATGGACCTGGAGGTCAGTCATCCAACTGCGCAGATGTCCGACCGCAAAGACTGCAAGCATAGCCTTTACACATGTCAGGTTCATGGTACTTATTAACCAATTCTCACTGTACTTGTAACAAACTTATAAGCCCCTTAAGTGCCCATAGACAATTAAGTACAGTCTCTATGAACCTCCAAGTACTAACCCCATGCGCGGGACTTTAAATGTACAAAAACCCACAAACGCGAAAACATACCCGACAAAGAACACACATTTGAGAACCTGAACGCCTTGCACACCTTGCAAGACTTGTTTCAGAGCAAGCTATGTGCCCTAGGCCCTAAACCCTAAACCCTAAACCCTCCACACATTGAACCCGAGGTTCTTTTGCGGGTGAACCCAGTCAACGGCCCGAAACCCTAGAGTCCCTGAAAGGCCCATACCACGTAAAAGGATCGTAATACAGCAGACCTATACCCGAGAACCCGAGACCCAGTAAAGCCTCACACCCAGTCCCTGATTAAACCGGAAACCCGAAACCCCAAACCATAAACCCTAAACGCCAAACCCTAAACCCTCATCCCCAAACCCTAAACCCCAAACCCCAAACCCCAAACCCTAAACCCTCAACCCCAAACCCTACTTTTGCTCTGGGCGCACGGACGCCGCGTCCAAGGGCCGTGCGGCTGCAGCGAGACGCGGCCTTGCTGGGCCGCGTCAGTGTCGGAGGTTAAGGGCGTTTAGAGGGGGGTCAGGGGTTTAAGGGGTTTTGGGGTTAGGGGTTTGGGGTTTAAGAGGTTTAGGCGTTTAGGGTTTAGGGAAGTAGGGCTACAAGTTTTGGGAGTTTGTGGTTTTCTGTTGGGGGCTTTTAAGAGTAGAGGTGCCTTGGCTAGGGGGGGTTTAGGGTTTGTAGGCGATGCAGGCTTTAGGGTCTGGAGTCTTAGGGAGCAGGGTTGAAGTGTAGGGCTTAGGATTTCAGGTTTGGGTGCAGGCACGCTGCATGCGATAAAGGGAGCGCAGGATCCTTAAGGAAGGTAAGATAAAGGCGAGGGTTTAGGGTTTAGGGTTTAACCCTGAATCCCCAAGCCTAAGCCCCAAACTGCCAATAACCTGAACCCCCCGCCCTGAAAAAGAGACTGAACCCTAAACCCGAAACCCTAAACCCTAACCCCGAGCCCAAAAACCAAAAGCCCCCCAAAACCAACTCCACCAAAGTCAATGTGAGGAGGGTGCTAGGGGCCTGGCCCCAAGGTTTTCGCCACTTCCCAAACGCCATTGGTCTCAGAGATCGATGCAGGTTTTAGGGTTTAGGATTTAGGGTTTAGGGCTAGGGTTTAAGATTTAGGGTTTAGGGCTTCGGGGACTTCTGCGGCTTAGTGTGTTTAGGGTGGGGCTTAGGGCTTTCGGGGTTTTGGGCTAGGGGTCCTACTGAACTAACTCCAATGTAAATCCCATTCGAGGCCATGCACTTACCCCATGTGAACCTTAAAGCCTAAAACCCTGAAAGCTTCTTAGTAGGGTCTGGTGAAAATTAGGTATACCTGCTTTACCCCCGTAATATCGCCTGTCAAAAGATCATAGTTAAGAAATCCCAACTACTAACCTCCCGACCACGAGCCAGTGTAAGACTCCAGCGCCGAACCCTAAAACCCTAAAAACACTATAAACCCTATAAACCCTAATCAACCCTACTAAACCCTATAAGCCCTATAAACCCCAAAAAACCCTAAACAGCCTAAACCCTATAAAACCTAAACCCTAAACCTGCTTAGGATATTTCGATTGAATGTGCAACCGAGGGATCAGAGCATTTGCCGGGCTTTTGATGTCAGGTGCTCGGTGGGGCTAGACCCGGGCTCTTGTGACAAGGGGTGGCGCCCCCCAACGCCCTAAACCTACTCAAACCTCAAACCCTAGAAAAACCCTACCAATTCCCAAGCATGCCGGTTCTGTAGCAGCCTCCTCATATGGGGAGTTGATCTATCGCATGACAGCCACATAGGGTTTAGCTCCTCAAACCAGAGGCGGGCCCAACCTTTGGGTACACCGGGTACACCTTTTACAAGGGCAGTTATATGTGCCCTCAATATGGTCTCTCTTATGAAGGGTTCTGAAGTATGGGCCTTGGGTTGTAGGGGGCACATGAGGGGCATATAAGGGGTCCCCGTTTAAGGGCCCATACTACGGGACCTACTAACCGCCCTTGAAACGTCAGACCGAAGACGTCGCCTATTGGCAAGAGGGACTCTTTCTTCGTAGCCCCGCAATCATCTTATAAGAGAACCCAGAACCGAAGACATGGTAGAGGGTACCCCTGGGCTACAAAGTCTTCGGTTCAAGTGTTAGGGCTTTGGGTAATTAGAGTAAACCTTACCCTAAACCCTAAGCCGTAAGCACTAAACCCTAAACCCTAAACACCTTTACCCCAAGCCGCAAGCCCTCGGTAACCCCGCGTTGGCCTTCAGCACCTTCGTGGAGGCATTCAGCGCAGTGGCCTGCGACTGACCGCTGCAGGGGCGAGGTGCGGATCTCTGTGGTGATCCCTGCCCTATAGAGTAGCAAAACCCTGAACCCTAAACCCAAAACCCTAAACCCGAAACACCCTTTCCAAAACCCTTAAAACTCGAAACATGAGAGACACAACGCTGCAAGATGGACAGCTTCTCAGTGCGTTGTCTGCCTGGAACGCATTCTTCAATAGACCCAGGAGTAACCTAGCAACAAAAAGGGTACCCTTCTTGGTTTTAAGGGGATTGTAAGAGAACCCCAACCCTACAAAAAGGAAATAGGGGCCCGCTCCGGGTCCTAGCTTAAAACTTGTTGGGCAAGGCGTAAGGTGTGACCGGCAGTGACTGGGCAGTGTCACAGTGAACCAAGAGTAGGCAGCGCCCAAGACAATCGTTGAATCATTGGCTCATCGCTGTGACGACCACTGCCACCACCTTTTGTTGAGAACGCCTGTGACATTCTCCAAGTTATGAAGCATTTGTCTGGAGATTGTTGAGAACATATACCCCTGCTCGGAGAACGTCAGCAGTGGTGGGGCAGCAGTGGCGTCCTTGCCGTAACGAGAAGCAGACGCATTCAAGTCGCTGTTGTCATAGCATGGGTGGCCAGCCACGAACACATTTGGCTTGCGAGCTGTCTAGTTCAGCTGACAAACCTTGTCCCTAAACAACCCTATAAAAACCCTAAGCCCTATAAAACCCTAAAAGTAAAACAACATAAAACAAAAAAAACTGTCATGTTCACTGTCCCGCTGCCCCCTCAGGCACCAGTAAGCCGACCGTGCTGCTTGAAATGGGGAGCTCTGAGAGGTCAGGGTTTCTAAGGGTTTAGGGTTTATATGGTCTTCTAGGGTTCAGCCCACCTCGAAAAAATGACAGACACCGAACTTAAACTTGCCCATGGTGGAAATGGTTGTAAGGAATTCGGCTCCTCACCTTTCTGCTATGATATTGTGGGAGGCATAGGGCTTATTCTTTCTGAGGGTTGTGCCATGGACCGTAGCTACGACATAGGGTTTTCGATGGGAACTTCTAAAAGGGACCATTATTCAGAAACACCTCCCTCCACCACCCCTAAACCCTAAACCCTAAAAGTAACCAACCCAAAAAAAGCTGCCCTTATTGTAACATGGTTGCTGGGAAACCCAGCTGTTGGTCCAAAGCAGTTTAGGTTTGGACCAAAAGCTTGGTTTCCCAGTAACCATGTTACAATAAGGGCACCCTTTTTTGGGGGTTTGTTACTTTTAGGGTGTAGGGTTTAGGGAATGGATTCGAACCAAGGGGGACAGGACGGCAGCCCCCTAAACCCCGAAACCCCGAACCCCAATCTGAAGGACCATGGTCCTAGGTTCGCCCCATCAGTAGCCATTTCTCACTGATTCGTGGTAGGGAGTGGGGGGATGAGGTACCCTATATACACCCCTTACAGGGCACAGAGCCCGAACACCTTAACTATAATTCCCTCACAGGGCTTGGGTTGAGGGTTTAGGGTTTAGGGTTCAGGGTGTAGGGTTTAGGGTTTAGGGTTTACCCTACCCTAGTCATTTGGGCTTGGGCTCCGGCCACTGAGCTGAGGCGCTCCTCGTTCTCGCCCTTGCTCAAACTGGGCGGAGAAATGGTTAGGGTTTAGGGTTTGGGGTTTGGGGTTTGGGGTTTAGGGTTTGGGGTTTAGGGTTTAGGGTTTAGAGTTTAGGGGTTAGGGTTTAGGGTTTAGGGTTTAGGGTTCATTGCTATAGACCCTTTTGTGGTTCTCTATTGCAAGATGTAACTTCCAGTGCAGTGCAGCGTACCCGAACAAAACGCCCATACGTTGGATCAACTTCAGAACCCTAAACCCTAAACCTTAAACCTAGGGCTTTTGGCTGATCACTTGGCTGCACTTCCTATACTCAAAATCCCAAACACTGAAGTCTTAATTTAAACACTGAAAACTAAACCCCCTCCCTTAAACCCAGAATCCGCTAATCTAAACCCTGCAGCCTAAACCGAAACGATGTGGTTCACACAAGTCCTAAGCTCAGGCCCAATTTCTATGCCGGCCGTTGGAGTGTTCAGGTGTTGCGGGACGGTTTCCTATATTTCCTATAGAGTCGGCCGACACCGGCGTGTTGTCGAAACGAGAAAACGCTTGAAGATCCATCGCCTGCGACTGCTTGAGCAGTCTTCACGTTCAACGTCGAGGTTGAGAGCTGGCTTGGAGGATAGGTTGAGGGGCTTTGGGCCCCACGACCATAACCTAAGGCCTGTTGGATTCGGTCAGTAACCCCATAGCAACCACTATATGAGGTATGTTTAGCTCCCTGCTTTTACCCCAAACCCGACCCTCAATTAGGGGTTGAAGCTGCTTTACTCTCCCTAAACCCTAAACTCTAAACCCTAAACCCGAAACCCTAAACTCTAAACCCTAAACCTCCCCCTATCATTTTCCCTGCTGCTGAGGCTGCCGCCCCCAGTAGTCAGCCGTGCTGGCCATCCCAGCGGGGAAGCCGGCGCCTAAGAGAAAGAAAGGGTTTAGGGTTTAGGGTTTAGGGTTTAGGGTTTAGGGTTTAGGGTTTAGGGTTTAGGGTTTAGGGTTTAGGGTTTGGGGTTTAGGGTTTAGGGTTTGTGCTATGGGTTTTGGTGCGGAGTGCGGGGTGCAGGGTTTATAGGCTTAGATGAATTCGTGTTGAGTAGGGTGAAACGGTTTCAAGGTTCAGGGGTGGGAATGGAGGTGGGTTTTCAGGGGTTGGAAGTTAGACGAGGCAATAGCTGCCATGCGCCTAATTTTGGCCCCCTGAGCGAGAAGATTCGAGGCGTGAAGCACGCCATTCTGGGGTTAAGATTTAAGGCTTGCGGCTTCGGGTCCAGGGTTTTTTTGCTTAAAGGTTTAGGGGGACTCGTGCTTTTAGTGAAGTGATCCATGTTCTCGTGGAAGCCTTTGGCCGCCGGCCAACAAGGAACACTATGGTGACACAGACCAGCAATTAGGGTTTAGGGTTCAGGGTTTAGAACACGATTTATACTGAATGAGGCTGTAAGCCCATACAGTATTGGTAAGCTTCACAAGAGAGAGTGCCACAACGCGCCAATGTGCTCCTGACCACGAAGCGCGCTGCTCGGCATGTGCTGCTGCTCTTGCATTTTGGCCCAACATCTTTGAGCTCAAAACTCTAAACACTACTGCGCCCTAAGACCTTCACCCCTGAAGCCCAAACAACACCCGCAACCGGTATAGTGAGTGTGTTCCCACAGCAAAGACGGGCTCCCACCCCGAACCCGACCCCCTAAACCCTTGATCCTGAGGCCCATAAACAGAGGGTTTAGGGTTTAGGGTTTAGGGTTTAGGGATTAGGGTAGCCTTCACCCACAAGCACTAAGCCTGTTGACCCTCTGAACCTTAAGACTTTAAGAACCTCGAAGCATCCCGAATTCCTGGGCTGCTAAACCCTTGAAACGTAGACACGGACCTGAAACCCGCAAGCCCCCTAAGCCCTCAGCTCAACCCTAGCGTCCAGTTGCTGGTTTGCCCCAAACCCTAAACCCCCAACCCTACACCCTACACCCTAAACCCTAAACCCCAAACCCTAAACCCTAAACCCTAAACCCTAAACCCTAGCCCTAAGCCCTTAGACCCGATAAACCCCAAACCCTAAACCCCAAACCCCAAACCCCTAACCCTAAACCCCAAACCCCAAACCCCGAACCCTAAACCCCAAACCCCAAACCCCAAACCCTAAACCCCAAACCCTAACCCTAAACCCCAAACCCCCAACCCCAAACCCTAACCCTAAACCCCAAACCCTAAACCCCAAACCCCAAACCCCAAACCCTAAACCCTAAACCCCAAACCCTGAGCCCTAAACCCTAAACCCCAAACCCTGAGCCCCAAACCCTAAACCCCAAACCCTGAGCCCAAGAGCCTGCAGAGTCGGCTTCCCAGAACATGGCATGAAACCGGGCCTTCGGGAGCAAGGGCTGCGGGTGTGTAGGGTTTAGGGTTTAGGGTTTAGGGTTTAGGGTTTAGGGTTTAGGGTTTAGGGTTTAGGGTTTAGGGTTTAGGGTTTAGGGTTTAGGGTTTAGGGTTTAGGGTTTAGGGCATAGAAGGAGGTTTAGGGGTTTAGGAGTTTTAGGGGAATTAGGGTTTAGGGCTTGGGGTTTAGAGCATAAAGGGTTTCCGGGTTTAAGGGTTTCAGGGAATTAGGGTTCAGGGGTTAGGGGAAGTAGGGTTTAGAGCATAGAGGGGTTTAGGGGTTTAGTGGTTTTCGGCTTTAGGGGAAGTAGGGTTTAGGGGAGGTCGGGTTTCGGGTTGGGGTTTAGAGGGTTTAGGGTTGAGGGGTTTTGGGTTTAGGGGAATCGGGGTTCAGGGTTGAGGGTTTAGGGGCATTGGGGCTTAAGTTTTGGGGGTTTAGTCGTAGTGGGTTAAGGGGGCCCCGGTTCGTCTGGAAGAACGACAAAGCATGCGACCCTAAAACTCGTCTTGTCTACACTCGAAGCCCTAGCCCAAAACCTAGGGTTTAGGGATGTTTGGGGTGTAGGGCTTTGGGTTTAGGGATTATAGGGTTTAAACACAGCAGAGAAGGCTTCGGCGATTCTGACCCTTGTTAGGGGTTTAGGGTTTTCGGACCCTAAGCCGCCCTCAACCCCGCAACGCAAAGCCTAAGCCTCCAAATGCCCCAAATCCGGCCCAAACTCGGTTCAGCACGGATCAAGGGGTTCCACCCTTGGGTACTGTTTGTTTGCAAGGACTCTTATGAGCCATAGGGTTTATATACGCCAAGGGGAGCTGCCCGCCACATCTTAGGGTTCGGGCATTTGGGATTTAGGTTTAGGATACCCCAACCCCCCAAAAAAAACCTCTAGTCTGGGATGTCCGGCCAGCCAAGTTAGGCTCGCGTGGGCACCGGCAGTGTCCAGCCCATCCGGGTGCAAGGGGAAGTCGACCTCCACCAAAGTTTCAAACATTGAGGATTTAGGACCCTAAGCCCTAAACCCTGCACCCTAAATCCTGAACCCTAAACCCTAAACTGGCCGGGGTGGGCACGATTCTCCCCGAACAAAGGCTTATCACTTAGAACGAACCGCTGCGATCTTTGAACTTGAAGGGTTGTTCCAGGAAGGCCCCGTCCTCAATCCAGAAACATCTTTGCGAATGCAGACCTTCATGCGTTTGTCTTTCGACAACGGGTAGCGTAAGGCATTGCTCATGCTACATTGCTAATCATACACACATACGAATACGCTTCCATACACATATACAGATTCACCTACACATCCACGTACGCATCCCTGAGCAGCCACACAACACGTACATATACATATATATATATACATACATACATACATACATACATATATATATATGTATATATGCATACACATACGCATACATACATATTTACTCATACATATACAACAGACATGCACATGAACGTGCACTTGCGCATGTACCTATAGATAGCCAGATTCCCAACGTGGCGTCCTAAACCCTAAAGACCCCAAACCCCAAACCCCAAACCCTAAACCCTAAACCCAAGACCCTAAAGACCCCAAACCCTAAAGACCCCAAACCCCCAAACCCCCAAAACCCTACACACGCCAGTCCCGGCGCATCGGCATCCCCTGGGGGCCTGGCCGTGAGGTCGTCCAGAAGGAAGCAGATGCCGCTACTCGGGCTTTCCTCACCTTTATGCACGGGCGCCCCTACTTTGAAGCAGAAGAGTCAGTAAGTCTACGCAAAAATTTCGTGGTCGCTTCACATGGTCCCTTAGTTTCTTGCAAGGGTTCAGAAGTATGGACCTTTGGGTTGTGCGGGGTATATAGCGGGCATATAAGAGTTCCTCAGGGCCCGTGCTACACCGTTGCAACTAGCCCAAGCGCATGGGGGGCCCTACTTGCAACTGTCTCTTGCGGCGGACCCTCAGCCTCTGATTCTTGCACAATTTAGGGTTTAGGGTTTAGGGTTTAGGGTTTAAGGATCCATCCCGACGGCCGGGAATGCTGTAAAACCCACAAGGCCTGCAAGGTTTAGGGTTCAGGGTTTGGGGCTTAGGGCTTAGGGCTTGGGGTTTGGGGTCTTTAGAGTTTCGGGTCCTTAGAGCAAGGCAGCAGTTGACCCTAACCCTAAACCCTAAACCCTAAACCCTAAACCCTAACCCATGAAGTTGAGGCAGGCACACATCAGCATGTGGGGCAGCCGGAGGATCTTCCGCAGCTTCGGCGCCGCCGAGAGATAAAACCTGGATTCCAAAGCCGCAACTTAGGCTGCCTGTCCCGTGCCTTAAGGGTTTAGGGTTTAGGGTTTAGGGTTTAGGGTTTAGGGTTTAGGGTTTAGGGTTTGGAGGGCTTAGGGCTTAGGTCTTAGGGCTTCTAGGGCTCAGGGTTCAGGGTTTAGGTTTAGGGTTTACTGCTTACGACAGAAGTTCGCCTAGTAAGTGGAGCTCGTCCCTGTCCCCATGTTGAATTAATATATGGCGTGGGGTTGCTTTACTACGAGTGTAACGGACACCCAAGACATACACTCACCAATCGGAAAAAAGTAACCCTAGCTACACTCACCGCCAATGATAATGAAAAGCCTAAACCCCAGGTATTCTTTCATGAAGCCCAATCTTAACACGGAAGCCTCGTCACAGTCACCACCAGCAGTACCGAAAATCCTAAAGGTTCGACCTGGGACCCTTAAGGTTGTACTCTTGGGTTTGGGGTCCCCGTAGGGCATATTAGGGCCATTGTAGGAGTATATTAGGGGGAACCGTTAGGGGTACAACCTCAGGGGTGCTTCATCCTTTGATTCATGAAGCGGAAGTGGCTTCTGTAGGTAAAGTTTCGGTCTTTGGGACGTAGGGCCGGCTGACCCCGGGGTCTCCGGGGGGTTTATGGTTTATTCTAGGGTTGAGGGTTTGGGCTTTGGGGTTTAGGGTTGAGGGTTGAGGGTTTAGGCCTATTAGGGTTTAGGGCTTAGGGTTTGGGGGGTTAGGGTTCAGGGGTTTAGGGGTTTAGGAGTTTAGGGTTTAGGGCTAGGGCCCTAAACCCTAAACCCTAAACCCTAAACCCTAGTCCCCTCTCCACCCTGAGCTCCGCGCTGCTTCTCGTTGGCGTAGGAGGCCCACCGAAGCTCGGAAGTGGGCTTCACCCACTTGGCCACGAGCCGCGTCTCCTCATTAAGGGGGTTTAGGGTTTAGGGTTTAGGGTTTAGGGTTTAGGGTTCACTAGACACACGAGAAACTTAGGAAGAGAAAGGGCGCGCTTAGTTGGTTTCAAAGGACTCTCTTATTTTAGGAGTGTTGGGGGCCAAAGGCCTTCCTGTATCCGGTTTTCGGGCTGTTTTGAGCCTCAGAGTGGTGAAGAACCCCACCTGCCAACAACTTCCTGTTGGTTAGTAGGGAATGGGGGAGTGAGCTACGCCATGTAATCCCTTAAAGGGTTACATAGGGCCCTGATTCCCTCATTCCCTGCAAACCAAAAGACAATCGTTCGAAGTCTGCATGGGCCATAATGGCGCAACTGCGACCGGCGCTTGATGATCCATCATTGGGTTGGTTTCGCTGCTTTTCTTTAGGGGCTGTGGGTTCGAAAACTTGGTTCCCAGGTGTACTGTGTATGCCTGCGTTTGTCGCTTATCACGGGGAAATTCTGTGAGGTTGTCGTGATGCTGCTTGTTTGGTTGGTTTTAAACAACTTGCCAAGCTACTTCGTTGTATTGGATTTTAAAACTCAGCGGTCCGATTTGGAGTGATTATGGACTGAGGTACCGAAAAATGCACACACACACAAAAAAAAACAAACAAAAACATGGCTTGTGGTACCACATTCCAGAATGGAACTACAAAATGAACCCTCCGGGAATCTTTTGTGTGTTCAATGTCTGCGTATTGAATGTCCTTCGCGCGGACGGCAAGACGTGTGCACACCAACTTCTGGGTCATGGGAGTCATGTAGGAGGTTCCGTCCCCAATTTAACGTCCCTTTGTTTGGCGACCTTGCATATTCATATGCTACCAGGATATGGGGTATTCATAAAGGGACCCTAATTTAGAAAATCCCCCGTGTCGAGCACGGCATGAGGCACGTGCAGTGTCCGCAGCACCACGACTTTCAAATGTTTAGTTTGAGGCTTAGGATTTAGGCTGCGAGGCTTACATGAACTTGCTTGAGGACTCTAGCAATTGCAGGATGTGAGGTGTTTTTGAGGCTCCCGGACCCCCCTCCCCCCAAACCAACCCCCCCTCCCGTTTGATGAAGGTGCAGGTATTTTAGCTTTAAGGCCTGAACCCGAAACCCCAAACCCTAAACCTTGTGAACCCCAACCCCGTGGTTCATGTCACCGAAGATCGCCCAGTTGGTTGAGGGCTCAGAGGGTAAGGTGCAATCGGGAGTCCTTCTCCTTCTCGCCTGCAGCATGTCAGGGTTAGGGTTTAGGGTTTAGGGCTTAGGGCTTAGGGTTTAGGGTTTAGGGTTTAGGCAGGTTTAGGCTTAAAGGGTTTTCAGGGCTTAGGGTTTCGGCTTCAGCAGGTTTAGGGGTTAGGGTTTGCAGGCCAGGCCTAAGTATCGGGGCCCACCAGGGAGTAAAGAGGGCACCCTGTTTTTTGCCGAACGAGATTTACCGAAAGGCGGCCTAAGCCCAAACAACGTAAACCCCAAAACCCAAGACCCTAAACCCTAAACCCGAAACCCTAAACCTTGAACCCCAAAACCCTCACAAAGGGAAACAGCAGACTACAACATACACTCGGGATTCAAAACAGGAGGTGTCGTCAGGGCAAGGCAGGGCTCGAATCTCGACTCGTGGGTTTAGGGTGGTTGACTCGGGATGGGTTTAGGGTTTAGGGTTTAGGGTTTAGGGTTTAGGGTTTAGGGTTTAGGGTTTAGGGTTTAGGGTTTAGGGTTTGGGGTTTAGGATTTCGGGTTTAGGGTTGAGGGTTTAGGGTTTAGGCTTTAGGGTTCAGGGTTTAAGGTTTACTCCCGAATCCACTGCAGTCTGTCTTTGAAACAGCTCCAATGTTTACTGGGGACTCGGCGATCCCTCCCTCGCTGGCTCCACATACATACATATATATATATGTACATACATACAAAGCCATGAAAGGTCGCAAGCTGCAGGCTCCAAACTCTCCCTAAACCCTAAACCCTAAACCCCAAACCCTAAACCCGAAACCCTAAACCCGAAACCCTAAACCCTAAACCCTGTCATTGGTGCAACTTGGGAATGCCTCGCTTGGCCGTGAAGCGAAGCTTCCATACCTGCGGCTGAGGGTTGTGGAATTTATGGGCCTCCGGGTTAGGGTTTAGCGGGCTTAGGTTTTGGGGTCTGTGGGACTTAGGGTTTGGGGTTTGGGGTCTGTGGATTATGGCTTAGGCTTTAGGGTTTAGGACTTTGTGGGGCTTAGGACTGTTTAGGGTTTAGGAGTTTTTAGGGCTTAGGTTTTAAGACTTATTTTCATTTTTGTGAGTCTAGGCTTCGGGCTTAAAAGAGTTCAGGGTTGAAGGTTTTTGGCGTGGGGCTCATCGGGGTCTAGGGGTTGAGTAGGGTTTAGAGGGTTTAGGGTTTAGGGTTTAGGGGGTGAGGATCTCGAAGGGTTTAGGGTTTTGGGTTTCATTAGGGTTTAGGGTGTCAGGGCTTCGAGAAAGCCCGAAAACGGAGAGCAGCAAAGAACCCTAAACACTCTGCACAGCCACAAACCTCAATCCCCCTGCTGGGAGATCTCACAAACTACTGTACTAACGAGGGTCCCGCTTTATGCCACCGGAATCTCATAGCATCAGCCCCAAACCCTAAACCCTAAACCCTAAACCCTAAACCCTAATTAAACCCTAAACCCTAAACCCTAAAGAGCTGCACGCTAAAGACCTGAAGACCTCAAACCCCTAAACCCCAAATTACCCTGAAAACACTGAGTTCCCCCGCCGGCGTCGACTTTCCGCCGGTGAAGCGCTCCCCTGCCTGAGCGAGTACTAGAGTTCAGGGTTGGAGGGGGTTTCGGGGTTTAGAGTTTCAGGGTTTAGGGTTTAGGGCTTCAGGGTTGAGGTTTAGGAATTACATGTGAAAACCCCACAGCCCCTGTACATGGTTTCGGATTTAGGTGGAAGGTTTTAGATTTGTTGTTTAATGTTTCGGGCTTCAGCCCTGAAGCCCAAAGCCCTGGCCCGTAGCAGGTTACGGTGGGGGCACCATTGATGCAGCCCTCTAGGTCCCAAAGCCATAAACCTCCCCTTCTTGTGTGTCTGCGTAAGTGTGTTTACAGGGGTTCATCAGGCCTGAGTACGGTAACTAAATTGTTACAATTACAAAGGTGATGCAGCAATAACGCGAATAGAAGAACAATGGCAGTATAGTCATAAGAACAGTAGCAAACAGAGCAGCTGCCAGTACCAGTACGAACCAGCATTGCAACGCCACTAGTATTGACAACCAACAACCGCGGACCAAGGTACCAGTCGTTGCAGTGGATAATAACGGCTACGCAAAAAAAAAACATCACAACCAGCTCCTCCATCATCGACAGCGCCACCACCACCACCACCGCCACCACCTCAGGATCAACACCATCATCACCATCACCATCACCATCACCATCATCAGCATCATCATCATCATCTGGACCTTAGACCCTAAACCCTAAGCTCGTAACCGTCATAACAACCCCAAGGCCCGAAGTCTTCCCACTCCGGGGCTGGCGGCCGTCTGCTCCAAGAGGATGGGTCCCAGCTCGGCCTGCGGCGATTGGGCCGAGCATTGTGGGTTTGTGGTTGATCGTGTAGGGTTTAGGGTTTAGGGTTTAGGGTTTAGGGTTTAGGGTTTAGGGTTTAGGGTTTAGGGTTTAGGGTTTAGGGTTTAGGGTTTAGGGTTTAGGGTTTAGGGCTTAGGGATACTTGGGGCCCTAAACCCTCCTCAAGAACAAAATAAGCAACCAATGTTTGGGGGGTTTGGGACTTATAGATGTTCGCTTCGATTCAAGGTATAGTCCATATGAAGGGCACGAAGGGTCCGGGAGCCATAAGGACCCGGATTGTAGGGTTTAGGGTTTAGGGTTTAGGGTTTAGGGTTTAGGGTTTAGGGTTTAGGGTTTCGGGGGATTTGCGGATTTGCGGATTAAACCACAGTGCAGGGCTCTCTGTTCGAATCAAGCTGTTTTGAACAGCACCTGACGACCCGAAACCATAAGCCTTCCGCCTCATATAAGCATGTAAAACTTAAAAATACAACCAAATCAAGCCCCCTAATCATCCAGAACTCTACTAACGGAGAGAAACAGATTATATCATGATTTGGCATAACAATACAACTTTTTTACAGCATAACAAGGTGGCAATGTAATGATGTAGCAATGATGGAATAGTGTAGCAAAGTAACAATGTAACAACGTAAGACATGTTGACAATCCAATAGTCGAATCGTGTGATAAGTATACCCTACGAAAATATGATGATATTATACGAATACCCTGAGGAACTGTACCCCTTGGTAGCACAGTAATCATCCTATAATCAGGATACCCTTTCTTGGGACTGGTCATGTTATAAGACTACCCTGAATCATAAACCCCTAAATCCTAAACCCCAAACCCTAAACCCTAAACCCTAAACCCGAAACCCTAAACCCAAACCAACATCTCCCAGCAAATCTGGGCCTTGAGTAGCTTCTCGAGGCTCGGGCGTAGGCGCTCGCCATCCTTGGCCTCGGGGCTGCTATGGGGCTGCGGCTTAGGGTCCCGAAAGGGCAGGCGTCCTTTTTGTAGGGTTTAGGGTTTAGGGTTTAGGGTTTAGGGTTTAGGGTTTAGGGTTTAGGGTTTAGGGTTTAGGGTTTAGGGTTTAGGGTTTAGGGTTTAGGGTTTAGGGTCTAGGGTCTAGGGTCTAGGGCTTAGGGTTTGTGTCTTGAAGCCCTGCTTAACGTGGGCACTTCAGGAAGGTGTAGGGAATCGGAATCGAGTTAAACCCTAAACTTTGCGGTTGGCTTCCTTTAGCTAACTCTATGAATCCCAGAAAATACTAAAACGTATATAGAAAGTTTTAAAACGTCTTTTTGTAAAGTCCTCTTCAAAAACAATGGCTTTCAACAACTCTAAAAAAAGTCTTCAACAAGTCCTGAACACTAGAAAAGTCTGAAAAACGTATAAAAAAGTCTAAAAAACGAGAAATTGTCTTAACAAAGTCTAGAAAAAGTCTCGGGCAGAGTCTCCGGAGGGGAGTGGAGGTCTCCAGGAGATTCTCTCCGAGACATGTTTTAGAATTCTTCTACCCTTTTCCCAGACTTTGTTTGAGACTCTCTTTAGGACTTTTTGCAGACTTTTGTTCGATGTTTTGAAAGCCCTTGTTTCAGAAGATGACTTTTCAAAAAGACTGTTTTAGACGTTTTAATGATTTCCTTCGGCGATGGTATTAACTATATACCAACCAACGACATAACCCTAAACACACAAAGCATATACATGTATGTACACATACATATACGTATGCAGACGACATTGTCGCCCAGCTTCCAACTGGACGAAGCCAGTTTAGGGTTCCGGGTTTGCGGGGTTAGGGCTAAACCCTAAAGTTTAAAGGAATACGGGTAGGTTCCTAAATCAAGGCTCCTTTTTGGGTGCCCGTTATAAGGCCGCACCCTTTTAAAAAGGGATCCCAAAAAGGGACCCTAATTTAGAGAAATACACATATGATCGTCATGACGACCAGCCTGGGACGGGAAGCCGTGTATGGTCATGAAGGCCGTTGCCTGGTCGCAAGTCACGCCCGTCTGGTGAACGGCGCTGCGGCGCTGTGTGCAAGTGCCCCGAGGCGCGCAGCATGCGCGCCTTGTTCCCCGTGATCGCCAAGAGCACGCTTGGGGGCTTGAGAGCTGGCACGTCTGAACCTTTAAGCCCGAAACGCCTACCACACTCCCCTTTAGACGCCTTAGAGCCGTGAACAAATTTACCCAAACGCTAAATCCTTCAACGCCTTGGCCCTAAAGTTTTAGGGTGTAAGGCACATTGGCACCAGGAAAAGAAAACCCAACTAACCCTCAAGCCGAAACCCTAAATCCTGATTCCTAAACCTGCTGAAGAACCCAGGACGGATCTAAGGTTGCAACAACGAACTGCAGAGACCCTTCACCCCGAACCCAAAACCCAAACCCCAAACCCTAAAACCCCAAACCCTAACCCTAAACCCTAAACCCTAAACCCTAAACCCTAAACCCTAAACCCTAAACCCTAAACCCTAAACCCCAAACCTTAACCCCAAACCCACCTCCAGTGCAGAAAGAAGGGGACCGGCCATGGAGCAGCCGGGCAGTCATGCCGCGCAAATCCGCTGCTTTCTCAGTCAACCCCTTGCTTAGGGCTTATAGGCTTGGAGGCTTATAGGGTTTAGGGTTTAGGATTTAGGGTTTAGGGTTATAGGCTTGAGGGCTTAGAGGGTTCAGAGTTTAGAGTTCGGCGTTGAGGCTGAGGGTTGGGGGTCCACGGCCTTTTTTTTTTTCTTTTTTTGGGGGGGGGGGGGCTTAAAAAAACACTAAACCCCTAAACCCTAAACCCTTTATGGGGTCCAGGGTTGAGTGTTGCGAGCTCCGAAGCTGCAGATGTTTGCAACAGCGGCGGCGGCGATTTGAGTTTGCTCATTGCTGGAGCTACTTGTCTTTTTGGGGAAGAAGCAAGCACGGCACAGCAACTTAGACCCTAGAATGACGGAATGGCCCCCCCACTCTCCCAAACTCATCTCAGGAGTCGTGTGCATCATGTGTACACTTCTTTACGCAGAGCTGCTTCACTTATCTTCAGAAACTACTTGCTGACTTAAGCTTTGTTTCCGGCGTGGTGAAAGAGTACGTAACCTCCATACCCCTCGCCTCCCTAGGATAGAGTGCGTTTCGTGCTTCATCCTTGGGGTTAGGGTTTTAGGGTTTAGGGTTTAGGGTTTAGGGTTTAGGGTTTAGGGTTTAGGGATTAGGGATTAGGGTAGGTCTCGGTATGGCGGTCCCCAACCAATCGAAAACACTGAAACAGTTCTGGAGCTGCAATCATGCAGGGGCTTGGCTTGTAGGGCTTTAAACCCTAAAACCCTACCAAAGGTTAGAATTTGCAGGGCCCTCAACTGGGTTCTGGTTCATGTGGTAAAGGCCCGCCCCTCATCTCTAGGGCTTCATAATAGGGCTTCGGTGCTAGATATACTTGTTGGTAATCATATGCTCGCAGTTCAGCGTGTTTACGGCTTTAGGCTTGCAATGTAAGTATATAGTATATACTTGGGCCCTGAAGCTGGTGTTTCGGAACGCCTTTCAGGCCAAGGCATACACTATTCCTAGGGGTCCCTTCATAATCATATGGGACCTTTGAAAGGGGACAGCCTATACACCCCCTTATCTACCCTGCACAACCAAAGGGCCCATACATCAGAACCCATCAAAGAGGGTAAGGAACTATATTAAGGGACCTTAGAACTATATGAAGTAGGAAAAAAACATTTCTTGTACCCCCACAAGGAACTCACCAATATTGAAAGGAACCTTATATACACTCACCAATAACAGAAATATCAACCTTGTTTCATATGGTTACATAGACCTTGCTTGGGTTGAGGCGCACCCGCAGCCGACTCGCACGTTCCGTCTTTTCAAGTCCAGGCCAAGGTCAGAAAGGCACCTGGGCAATAAGCCCCGCGCACTTAAGCCCTAAACTGCCCTAAAACCCGGAACCCTAACTTGAGCCCTTAAACCTAATTCAACCCTAAACCCAAAACCCATTAAACCCTAAACCCTAAACCCTAAACCCTAAACCCTAAACCCCTCCAGGTGGCAGACTTTAAAGAGCACTCTTGGCTGCTGGAGTGAACCCGCTTGGCCGGTGAAGGCTTTGAAGGGGCTGAGAGGAGAGGATGTTTGGGGGTTTAGGGTTTAGGGTTTAGGGTTTAGGGTTTAGGGCTTAGAGGCTCAGGGTTGAATTAGGGCTAGAAGGGGTTCAGGGTTGAGCTTAGTGAAGTTTGGGTTTAGGGGGTTCAGGGTTTTGTGGTTTAGAGCTAAGGGGCGTTAACGGGGTCCGTTAATAGGATCCCCCTGCTGTACTTAAAGCCTAAACCCTAAACCCTAAACCCTAAACCCTAAAGCCTAAACCCTAAACCCTAAACCCTAAACCCTAACCTGCGAGCGTTCAGGGTTAGGGTTGAGGGAGTAGGGTTCAGAAGTATCGGCTCATGGGTTGTCTAGGGTATATACGGGGTAGGTTTAGGGTTTAGGGTTTAGGGTTTAGGGTTTAGGGTTTAGGGTTTAGGGTTTAGGGTTGAGGGTTGAGGGTTGAGGGTTGAGGGTTTAGGGTTCCTGCAGTAAGGGCCCATCCTAAGGGACCATGAAACTTGCGTATGGTTCGGGCTTCGGGAGCTCGGGCCAACGCCGGACCCAACCTAGACTCGCCTTGCAGTTCCATTTAGGGTTTAGGGTTTAGGGTTTGGGGTGTAGGGTTTAGGGTTTAGGGTCTAGGGTGTGTCTTCTGGTTGGCATCATCTAAAAATCAGGTGCCCCAAAAACTTGACAATGCAATTGGGGGTCGAGGATAACCCTTTCTAAACCCTAAACCCTAAACCCTAAACCCTAAAGCCCAAACCCTAAACCCTAAACCCTAATCCCTGTCATGAGTCTTAGGGCGTCGGTGGGATGAGGCTTAGGGCCTGATACAAGACCCCTAAAAAGCCCAAGCAACAATGCCTGATACTCAGCACTACGAAGGAAGACCTAAGTAGCCCTCCCCCCGGGAAAAAATGTGTGTAGCTATATATATATATACATATATATCTGTATAGTGTAAATAAATAAGCCCAAAATGACACACATTTCGTACCCCCCCCCCCCCTAACCCTAAACCCGGAATCCAAAGTCATTCCAAAAGCCTAAGCCGGTAAAACCAGACAAGGCTTGCAAGGGCTTGAGCTTGAAATCGACCTTTTAAAGCTTCAGGGTTGAGGTTGTGGAGTCATACATGGAGGTTCAGGGCTACTTCTAACCTCAATTAGAAGTGGGCGCTTATCAGTACGTTACAATTGGGCTTAGAAGTGCCCGGAACCTCCAAGTAAGGGCTTCAGAATTGCTAGGGGTGTAGGGTCTCAACATGTATTTGCCGCCCTCAAAGCGGCGGCCTGTGGCTAAGATACAACATCCCTTCCGCTTCTCGGCTCCCTTCCGGACATGTCCCGTTTGGGGGGGAGGGCTGAGTTTAGGGTTTAGGGTTTAGGGTCTAGGGTTTAGGGTTTAGGGTTTAGGGTTTAGGGTTTAGGGTTTAGGGTTTAGGGTTTAGGGTTTAGGGTCTCCGGGGGCGGAGGGCTGAGGGAGCTAATCTTTAGAAATCAAACCCTACGTCTCAAAATCTTTTGAACCTATAACTGATAAACCCAAGCGCGTAGAAAGAAGGTCTGGGAATCCTTGGCTTGCACCCCCGCTGCAAACTCTAGCCTGTATGTTGGGGGGGGGGGGGGGTTATATAAGGGAACCCTAAAGAGACCCCAAAAACCGTAAACCCGAAACCCCAAACCCTAAACCCTAAATTTAAACCCCAAACCCTAAACCCTAAATTTAAGCCCCAAACCCTAAACCCTAAACCCCAACTCCTAAACCCAAACAAACATAGGATTCCATATAAAAGGGTCTCGACCAAAGTAGCCGTAGTTTCGGAACCCCCCCCCCCCCCAAAAAAAAAACAAAAAAACCTGCCGTATGGGGTTTAAGGGTTCAGGGGTGTGGGGTGCACATGGGCCGCGAAACCAAAAAAACAACCCGAACCCTAGCATCAGGTAAAACACCTGCCTGAAGAGGCCCTAAACCCTAAACCCAAGGACCCCATTCGGGCCTTTCAGCTTTGCAGTAAACCTTGGGGGCGGGTTGAACCCTAAATTTGGGGTCATATACTTCAAACTTCTATAATTCCTATTTAGGTACATGAACCATACACCCTGTTAGGGTTCATTTAGTCACCAAGGTGAGTTCTCAAACAGAGGACATGCGTCCGTTCGGAAGCCGACTTGTGTTGTTCACTGCTTCGGCCGTTCCTCGCCGTCCGCCTCTTCCACCTGCTCTTCCTGACGGCGGCGCAATCTAGAGATCGCACCCAGCCCCACCCCCCTCCCCCCCTTCCCGGCCCTCCAAACTGCGCTGATTTAAACTTGAAGGAAGAATCTCAGATTTCTCCACCCTAAACCCTAAACTCTAAACCCGGTTTAGGGTTTAGGGTTTAGGGTTTGGGGTTTAGGGTTTAGGGTTTAGGGTTTAGGGTCTAGGGTTTAGGGTTTAGGCCACAGTTAACCCTAGACGATACTCCCCTTAGAACCTTCATAACAACAGATCTCTTTAATTTTCTCTTGGGCTTTATACCAATAAAAAACACAACCCAATTCCTACGAGGGCTATAGCAGACCCCATACCCCAAGCCAAACTTCCCATTGGGCAGCAGTGCACGTCCTCATTCCCTGGCCAGCTACGGGGCGTAGTACAATCAATCGCGCATCCTAAACCCTTGACCCTAAACCTAAAGCCTCAACCCTTCTTGCCACCGTGTTCCTAGCAAACTAGTCAATGAAGAATTTCCTTTACAAACAGGAAATACAAGGGCGTAGCTGTGCCGATGCTACAATGCAAAACCCGCTCAAGTGAAAGTTCAACATTGTCCCGGGTCTTAGGGTTTTGGCCTAAACCCTCAACCCTACACCCTACACCCTAAACCCTGAACCCTGAACCCTGAACCCTGAATCCTAAACCCTAAACCCTAAACCCTAAACCCTAAACCCTAAACCCTAAACCCTAAACCCTAAACCCTAAACCCATACCTCGGCCGCGCTGCTTGGCGGGTCGTTGGCTGCAGGCGAGGCCTTGCGCCGCTTGGAAGGGCTCTCGGGCTTTCCCAGGTTGAGGGGTTTAGGGTTTAGGGTTTAGGGTTTGGGGTTTGGGGTTTGGGGTTTAGGGTTTAGGGTTTAGGGTTTAGGGTTTAGTAGTAACTACCCTTAGCTAGTAGGCATAACCCAGAAAACTGTAGGTAAAGAGGGTCCCAAGTAAGCCACCCGCGCACCCACGCACCCACACTCTACAAATGGTACCCACTCCACAGGGGAAGGTGGCACTTGCTTCAAACTTTACACAGCCAACGCTTGAAGTTTCCTAGGATGGCCCTGAAAAACCCGGCTGAAACAATATTCCCAAATATGGTCCTCTTCAAACCCAAAAAGGGAATTATGCCTGGTATATGGTCCTCTTAAGCCCTAAACCCTAAAACCTAAACCCTAAAACCCTAAAACCCTGAACCCTG